CCATGGGTGCAGCGCTATACTACCTACTAGTGTGAGTGTGAAAATCACAAGTTTGAAGCTCCCAAATNGCATAAGTGAAAGAGAAGAGTTTGAGTAGCCCATGGAAGAGAGAAGGTGAAGTAAGAGAAGATGGAGGAGAAGGGGAGAGAGATGAGGGAGATGGAGATGGAGAAGAGGGGGAGGAAGACAAAGAGAATGAAAGTGAAGAGGAGGAAGGAGGAGATGAAGAGGGTAGAGAAGAGAAGGAAGAAGGAGGGAGTGAGGAGAAAGAAGAGGAAGAAGAAGGAGGAGAGGAAGACGGAGAAGAAGAAAAAGAAGAAGAAGAAGAAGAAGAAGAAGAAGATGGAGGTGAAGAAGTCTCTTCCTTCCTCTCACCTTGTTGATTCCTTGGTGTTGGTGTCCTCTTAATGAAGCTTCCTCTCCTTGCACAATCCCCCCTTTGGCTATGACTTCCTTCTTCTCCAAGCCCTTCTCTCCTTCTTCCTTGCTCTCCCTCAGGCTATGGCAAGCTCCCCCAGCTATGGCTATGGAGTCCTCCCCTCTAGGAGGGCTAATGGGGCTCCTCTAGCTTCTCCTTCTCTTCTACACCCAGGAGGGATATGGCGGATCACCTTTCAAGTGTCTCTCCCACCATCACTATCCTCTAGAGTCCTCTCCACTACCTCCTAGTCTCCTCTATGCTCTCCCACTAGCATGGGCTCCTCCCTCCTCACTCCAAGTGCAAAGATGCTCCTGTGAGCTCACTTGGGCAGCATGGGCACTCCTCATGCAAATGTRAGAGTGGCGGACTGCATCCTCAGCTTATGTAGGCTGAAACCAGCAGTTCGGCCAGCCCATGAGCCTCCCCATGAGCCTAAAGGTGAACCGAGGTACCCCCAAGGCCAAATTCCCCTACTAGGCCCTTCTGGAGGTACCTGGGTCTCATTTTGGCCAAGTACATGCAGTTCGAGTGGTTGGTACCAACTCGGACTGCCTCTTGGCCTACTCCGGCCTCTTTTTCATTGCTCAAATGCTGCCCCTTAGGGTCCTAATGCCCAAGGGGCAGCAATACTTGAGAGAAAAAGGCCTTGTGGGCCTTTTTCTCGATTTTTCCACGTGCGGCACATTTTCAGCCTTGGATCTGGCTGAGATCGAAGGCCAGCAATAATCCGAGCTACCCCCTAGTAACCCTTGCTTCAATTTTGAGCCCCTAAGTCCAGTTTTTCAATTTTTGGTACATCTGGCTTTCTTTTTGGGCCCAATGCACTACTTTGTCCTTTTCCCTTTTTTGTTTCTTTCCATTTTGGGCTGCCACCTCATTCCGGAGCTAGCTGTTTTCAGCTGGCCCGCAAAAAATGGCTAGGTCCTCTCTACCATGAGATATTATCTCAGATCCATGGCCCTAAAGAAAACCGGTCACTTCCTTTTTGCATTTTCTCTCATTTTCAACTTTTTAATTCAGATTTTATTGAGATATGGAGGACCATATCTCTGCAATCCGGATTGCCCTCCCTCATTCTAGGAAGGATGAGGTCACAGTTGGGACCTGCCAGTCCTTACGGTGCAGGTCCCAATAGGCCGGCACACTCTCCTCCACTCTTTTCTCCCCTTTCGTCTCATTCTCCCTCCTTTTCCTCTCATTTTTCTTTCTTTTTCTTTTATTTCTGTTGTGACAAGTATCAAACTGCTATGCACCCTCTTTCTAGGCCCTAGGGTCTCATTCAAGGTCAGGTTTGTGGCTCTAGCTTGGCCGTTATGTCTCGGATTCCAATAATGGCACCCCCATGCTCCTAGGGGGCTCCATTTTGCTCCCGTTTGCCCAATTTTGAGCCCCTTTTGCTCCAATTTTCTAAGGGCAGCCTTTTTCTCATATTGAGTTTCTCAAGGCTCTATTTTCTTATGCCTTGCTAGTCCGAGATATCCCGGACTGCTGGGCAGCCTTCCCAACATCCTTATTTCACTTTTCTTTCTCCCATGACTCTCCCACTTGCTCTCACTAGTGCTTGCACTAGTGGTGCTAATATTTTTCACGGTCTAGATTCTCGATCTCGATGGTGTCGTTTGCTTGCACAATTATTCCTTGTGTTTGCTCATGGTTCCCTTGGGACATCCCAAGTTACTGCTATTTTCCTATATGCTAGCTCCATTTCTTTGTCCCGCCGGTGGTCCTGCCGGCGCGTGTCCCGTTTTTCGATTTTTATTATTTTGACCCATTTGGTTCCCGGCAACATTCCGGACGGCGTCCCATTTTTATTTTTTTGGGGCCCATTGCCCTTGGTGGTCCCATCATTTCTACATGTGTGCCGATTTTTCTAGGTTGTGAGATCTCATCTCACGGTTGCCGTTTACCGTCTTTACTTGACCCTCACCAAAATTGCTCCTTTCTTAGCCTTCCTGGCTTGCCGTAACCCATTCCCCTTTGGCCTTGGCATCCCCATGCAGTCCGTAATTTCTCGGACTGCAGTCACGGCTGTTTTTCACACCCACAACCCCACAACTTGCCTCATGTTAAAAGAAAATGAAGCGTTAAATTTTCTAGTGTATCCGGATTCAATATTGGCTCCGGATGCACCTAGAACATGTGTTTTCTCTCCCCCATGCAGTCCGTTGCAACTCGGACTGTAATGGGGGTCAATTCCTTAGCCCCAATGCCCCACAACTAGCCCTTACTCAAAAGAAAAAGAAACGATCAATTCCCAAGTGTATCCGACCTTGATTTTGGCTCCGGATGCACCTAAAACATGTGTTTCTCCTCATGCATGTATTCCGTTTTATTCCAGTTGCAAGAGGCCTTGATTTTCTTTGATTTTCTCTGCAAAAATAAAAGAAAATCAAAGTCCTTTGTAACCACCATATTTCAGAATGAATCTGGTCACTGATGAATCTCCCCAAGCGACCGTTTTTTACCGTTAAGGCCTTTTTCTTTTTTATTTTATTTTATTTTATTTTATTTTATTTTCTCCTCCTTTCTTGGACAGTAGGGACCTGCCAGTCCCTACCTATGGCAGTCCCTACTGACGGCCAACTCACTCACTCCCTCTCACTCTTTTGTCTTATTCTCCCCCATTTTCTTTTCTTTTCTGTCTTTTTTCTAACATGTCAAGTGTCAAGTGGTCGTTAAGGCCCTTTTCTAGCCTCTTCCTCTAAGTTTTGGCCCTCCCTATGCCCAAGGTGCCGAGCGTTATTTCTCGGACTGCAATAATGGTCTTCCCATGCCCATGGGAGCCTCCTTTTACTCCTACATTTCTCCCACAATGCTCCCTCCTACTCCGATTTTCTCCCGGAGGGCTATTTTTCACATGGGGTCTTATTTGACTCTATTTTCTTGAGGGAGGTTGATCCGAGATTTTTCGGATTGCTCCCATGCCTCCCACTTCAGTTTTCTTTACTTCTCCTTTTCCTTTTGGTCTTCCCATTTGTCACCACTAGTACTTGCACTAGTGGTGCTAATATTCTTGGCCGTCAAGATGTCGATCTTGACGGTGCACCTTGCATTTATTATTTTTCCCTCATGCGGTGCCGCCGTTTCTTCTTGGGACTTTCACATGTCCCCGCCACTTGTCCCGTCGGTGGTCCCCGACACTTAGTCCCGTCGGTGGTCCCCGACACTTAGTCCCGCCGGTGGTCCCCGACACTTAGTCCCGCCGGCGGTCCCCGACATTTTTCACCCCGGACGCCATTATTTTTACTTAGTCCCATGTGGCCCCAGGTGCCTTCCCCGAGGTGTCCCATGCCCCTTGGGCGTCTTGTCGCCCCATAGCGACCCCTCTCCTTAGTCTTTCCTCGCGCCTTGTACGTGTTGATCTCTTTGGTCGTGGGTCTCCGCTCCGAGGCTCCCGTAGGTGACCCCCACGTTGACCCCTCATTTCCTAGCTACCTGCGGCTTCTGGCCGCCCATCCCTCGACTTCCTCATTCCCTTATTGTTGTCGTGCTGCAATTGCTAGTTCAAAGGGCCCTTTGGCCTTAGTCTTATTGCATTCCGATGACCTTCCCGGCCTCATGCTATGTTCTATGTGCCCTTGCTTTCGCGCTCGCTTGCTTGCCGTCGCTAGTTCTTTCCTCCTGTGGTTCTCTCCTCAGGGCATCACTCCCTCCTGCGGCCTAATCCTTTGTTTTTTCTCTCTCCCGCTTCCTCACTCCAGATTTCTCTGTTGTGCACAATTTGTCCATATTCAATCTCTCGAGTGACGGGAAGTTATTCGGGATCCACCAGTCCCGACAACGGGAGGAGCAGGAGAAGTGGAGCAGCAGGGGGGGAGCGAGAGATGGAGAGGGAGGAGGAGCGGGAGGAGTTGGAGAAGGAACTGGAGGAGCGGGAGGAGGATGAAGTTGTGGTGGAGGAGCAACGGGAGGTGAATCTCTCTCTCTCTCTCTCTCACACACACACACACACACACACACACACACACACACACACACACACACACACACAGTCCATCAATCAATCAATCACTCAATCAATTCGATTGATAAATTGGTTGATTGATTGAGTGATTTTTCGTTTTCTGTTTGGAAAAATCGGGTGGGTATCGGCCGGTTCTCGTGTTTTGTTTTTGTTTTCAATCAATCAATCAATCAATCAATCAACCAATCGATTAATTGATTGATCGATTGATTGGGACGAGGTGGACGGAAACCGACTCTTTCTCTCTCTCTCTCTCTTTCGCTCTCTCTCTCCCTCTCTGTGGCTAGCCACGTGGCGACCCTTTTTTCTTTTTTTCCCGTAGGAGGATCTTTGTCACGTTGCGGGAGGACGGGAGTAGGAGTGGAAGGCGGTACAGGAGGAGGAGGAGAAGTGGGAGAAGGAGCGGGAGGAGAAGTGAGAGAAGGAGCGGGAGGAGCGGGAGCAAGAAGGGGGGAAGAGAAAGAGAAGCAGCGGGAGGAGGACCAGGAGAAGGGGGAAGGGGAAAAGGTAAGAAAGGGGGAGTGGGAGGAGCGGGAGGAGTGAGAGGAGCGGGAAAAGGAGGAGTCTCTCTCTCTCTCCCACATGTCCCGTGCATGTGCCATCCCTGCTATCACAACGTCGTAAACACCATGCTATTTCCTTTTTTTTTCCCCCTTTTTTAACGATTTAAATGTTCGAATATTTTCACAATGCATATAAACACATCGGCTGTTATCATACCCACAGGAGACGATTGTCTGTGGAGAGCGCATATGTATCCATCGACTAATCTTCGTTATGCTTCAACGGTTATCATGCTCAAGCACCTCTAGATACCATTTTGATCGTAATCATCATCGTCATCATCATTTTCATCTTCATCATTGCCATCCTTCATCGTCGTCATCCTCATCATTGCCATCCTTCATCTATCATCATTGTTATCATCATCATCATCATCATCATCATCATCATCATCATCATCATCATCATCATCATCATCATCATCATCATTATCGTTCATCCATCCATCCATCCATCCATCATCGTCGTCATCATGATGCTCATCATGCTCATCATCATCATCACCATCATCATCGTCATCGCCATCATCATCATCATCATCATCGTCGTCATCATCATCATCATCATCATCATCATCGTCATCATCATCATCATCATCATCATCATCATCATCATTATCATCATCATCATCATCATCATCATCATCATCATCATCATCATGATCATCATGTCGTCTTCATGGTCATGAACATCATTGTCGTTACCTTATCATCATTGTGGTTCCGTCGTTCCTAGGCGAGAAAGAGGGGGGGGGGGGGGGGAGAGAGAGAGAGAGAGAGAGAGAAGCAGACAAAATCGACGAGAGGCAGAGAGAAAGGAGGTCGAGCGAAATAGAGCCGAGACAGAAAGAGAGAGGGTGATGAGCGGATGACAGCACGGACCGCCCTCCCCCCCGCCTCCACCTTCGCTCACCCTCGACTGCCACAGCGTAGCTGCGGGGGGTCCACTTGTTTTTTTAATAATTGAAAAACTATAATAAAAAAAAATGGAGAGGTAGAGCGCAAACAAATCTACACCCTCACATTTTTTTCCTAGGTTGTTTTATCGGATGTCCGGGACCCCCCTGACAGTCCGGGATGTCTGACCGGACGTCTGGTCGGACGTTGGACCGGACAGGGGATGTCCGACCTAGCGCAAAAAAAAAAAAAAATCATGTGGCTTCTACCTTGCATAAGGTGTATGCCACCAAAATTTTGGCTCATTTGAGCGAGTAGAAAAAACGATAAAAATCTTCAAAGTTTCTAATCCCCACCTATAACCCTCCTATCCCCACCAAAACCCCTCGTACCCCCCCCTCCCACCCCAAATAGCACCCTATTACCAAATGCTCAAAAGATTCTGAATTTTTTTATGGGGGGTCTCTATGGCATGCGCAACACTGTCATAATTTTTTTTATTTTTATTTTTTTTTTAATGCCAAAAAGTGGTTGTCCGGGATCCCGGACAACCCCCCTACCGGACGGTTGGGGGAGACGTCCGGCCATCGGACGACTGGTAACCTAGTTTTTTACCCTATTTTTTGCATGTGAAAAAAAAATTCGCGGACTGCGTTGTACCACACAGTTTTTTACCCTATTTTTTGCATGTGAAAAAAAAACTCGATGGCCGAGACGTCCGTCCATCGACCGTTGAGCCGTCCAACGGGAAACCCCCATTGAATCGCTTTTCGGACACACAGGTCGTAGGTGCTCCATCTTTTCTTCTTCACTCCATGTTAGTAACGCAGTTAGGTTGTCGTAGTCTATTAGGAATTCTGTGATATTTGCCCCGTCAAACGTCAACTTCTTCTTGGCTTCTGCGAGGTACCCTTGGTTGTTGTTTAGTGCTCGTGTGAGGAACGACGCCATCTTCTCGAGGCCACCCTTGAAGCTGCGGGTATCGCTGACCATACTAGTTCCCAGCCCCACCTTGTCGGCCCTTTTTCTCTGTCCGGCCTCTGTAGTCCCCTCCTTATCAAACCACCCCAATACCCTTTCCCCTAAGGCTCCAGAGTCCTTCGCACCCCCGCATAGCTATTGGTGCGGCCGGCAGGCGGCTAACCCTGCTATCTATGGCTGGCGGATTTGTAGCTTTTTCCACTTATATTCCAGGAGAGTCCCCCCTCTCTTTTCCTCTCTTGTTGGGCGTTCTTCCGGGATCACTATCCTTACCCCCCTGTCTAATTTCGTCTTGGCTGACCCTCCTTTCGTCACGCAGTCCTTCCCTCGAAGGGTTCTCCTCGCTTCCGATCATCATTTCATTGATCTGTCTTGCCTTGTACTCCGCGGTTTTCTTCTCTATTTCTGCTAGCTTGCGCCACGCGTTCGTGATTCTCACCTTCTTTAATACGGCACTGTCCGAATTTTGTGGGTTCGATCTTTCTTTGTTTCTACCTTCCCTGGTTTTCTAGGTCCCTCGCTTGCTTCCCACGACTTTCCCCGAGCTTTCTATAGAGGAGGAAAATATAGAAGGGCCGAGGTATGGACGGATATTGCTTTAATCGCCACCTTGGTAGGTAACCCCCTCCAGGACTTCATTAAGGAAGACCAGAGGAGGGCTAATGAAAGGGCTCGGGACTATCGCTGGAGTGAGGGTCGGTTAGAAAAACGGAAGACGGATGGTAGTGGGATTTGGATGGTAGTACCGCACCCGTTCATGAGGTATGACTGGGTTAAGGCGACGCATGAGGAAACTGCAACCCATTTTGCCGTCCGAATTACGGAAGCGACAATCGACAAAAATGAGTGGTATTGGTCCAACATTCTCGGCGATGTTAAATTCATCTTCCAAGAATTGTCAGGTCTGCGCTACTGACAAGGCGCCGATTCAACCGCCGAGATCGATGGTGCCGACGGTAGTTGAACGACCTTTTCAGAGGGTCAACATGGATACTACCGATATTGTGGTGCCCCCTTGACCTTGTTACTGAAACTGTTAGTGATGATTGATGATGCTCTGAGCATCCACCGCTAGCAGCTCAGCCACTAGCTCCATTCTATTGGTGGGGAGCTGCACCTGCTGGAAAACGAGTCCAGCGTCCCTCCTACAAATGATACGAATGATGCTGATACCCGATCAAGAAAACAGGAAGTGAGGTGAAAAGGGAGAGCTGCTTCTTCAGCCAAAAATTGGCCGCCATATACCCGTGGTTATGCTAGCAGTATTACCTCCTCTACCTTTTATAGGAAATTTGTAAGAAATTTTGCAGTTCTGCCGTAGCCGAAATTGTTTCAAAAACAGGATTTTCAAACCATTTCTTCCTTCTCAAACCCAAACCAGCTCAGCGGAACCAGGCTTAAGGAGGAGGGGGGGAAGGGGTCTCGGAATTCTGAAAGGGGGCGAAGGGGTACAGCAGGGTCTACATTTGTCCGGTCATGAAAAATCAAATGATAATCCTTCTGAACTTCTCTCCTACTTCCAGCCAGGCTTTTTCTCCTGTCTCTGCTCCTTTTAATCTCCCCTATCTTGCCCCCTTGAGGCCCCCCTAGACATGCACCACTGAACTGCACTTGCAGTAGGATTTCTTTTTCTGATGATATAAATTTTATCTTTTCTTTTACTTCATCCCATTGAGCCGAGATAACTGTCTGCACTTGCAGTTTGATTGATTCTGTAAATTCTGGTCCTTCCAGCCTTGCTCGCTCCATTTCAAATGTGCATCTGCGCCTCCATAGGGCCCAAAGAATTGCTCGTCTTCCACTTACAAATAAATTGTGAGAAAATTCATCCAACTGCTCAAGAGACCAGGTTTCACATAATAGTGCTTTCCACTTCCACGGGCCTCGTAGCTACGAACCTGCAGGCCTTGGGCAGAAATGGGAACGAGGGACTGCAGGTTCGTAGCTACGAGGCCCGAAATGGGAACGAGGGACCACGGCCCCAGTATAAGTTAGGGGACATCGTGCAGGTGAGGAAATGTGCTCGCCAGGGTAAGCTAGTGCCACGATACTTCGGGCAATTTCGCGTGGTCGAACTCGGTCCTAACGGAATAAACATGGTGCGGCTCGTGCTCGAGGTCTCAGACAGCAGATCAGCTCGTCCGATCACTCGCCACGTGTCCTATCTGCGGCCTCTCCCTTCCTCTCCATCTCCACCTTCGTCCGCCTCCTCCTCCAGTACGGAAGAGGACAACGCCTGTTTATCGCCCTCTCTTTCTCTGTCTCGCTCCCCTGCAGACACTCCGTCCCTGCCGCCATCACCATGAGTTTTTCTACCGCGCAGGTTCTTGGCGAGCACATGTTGGCACCACGTGGCGATATTTTGGCGATCACTCAAGTCCATCATCCACGGATCAGTCCGGATCTCCTCCGATTTGCGCAGTTCTTCAGCACCACTGGGGTGTATGCGGCGGCGGAGTTTCGTTTTGCGGCCCATAGCCAGATACTCGTGTTGGCCAAGGCATCGACTTATCGACGACTTTTGGCACCAAGGATCAGCCACGTGTCTACCATCGTCGTCTTTAGTGGGGACATCAGCGCGCTGGATCCTACAAGGCATACGCCCATCCGGACATCGCTAAGGGAGTGGGGTGAACAGTTAGCGCAGGAGTGGAGCTGGTGGCTTGCACGGCACGACGACAACCTCGTGGTCACCAACAGCGTGGACATCGGCGGGCTCCACACGTCCCGACACGAGCTGGCGGTAGCGCTCCCGGAGCTCGTCCCTTTTTTGTGCCCTCAATGAACCGGTCCTAGATCTCGACCTTTGCCCTCCCCTCTCTCTTCCCCACCTTCTGGCAGTCTGCTCTCCATCCCCGTCTTTCTTTCTGTATCCAGCCACTCGTCATCCCCTCATCGAGCCGAGACATTGGGAGGTGTGGTGCAAGCAGTACCTCGCTCTTTCGTTGTGCCTGGTGGAAGTGGAGTTGACGTGGACGCGAGACAGTAAGCATCACGCCGCGAGAGAGAGCGTGGAACTGCTAATCATCCAGGCCTGGAAAACGGAGGTGTAAGGAGATCTTCCCGGGTTCGTTTTCGGAGCAGTGGAACCCGACCATCGGCAGTTGATTGTGTGGGAACTCTCGGTCCCTTTTGTGCAGCTCATCGACGACCTCCCCCTTGACATCATATCGCAGTGTGACGAAAGCCCGGTGCCGCACGTCCTTCCGCGAAGCTTGACGCCGTATCTGCAGTGGTCGGCCTGTCTGGAGGTGAGGGGAGGAGGTGGCAGCTACCCGTCACGATCGGAGTACTTGAATCCCCGAGGGGTCGTCGACATCCTTTTCTTCCAGCCCCGGACAGTGTCTGAAGACGAGGCGATAGCGGTAGAGGAGGAAGAAGAAGAGGACGAGGAGGAAGAAACCCCGGAGGAAGGGAGTTATAGCGAGCACAGCGAAGAGGAGCCGAGCGAAGAAGAAAAAGAATAAGAAGAAGAAGAGGACGAGGAGGAAGAAACCCCGGAGGAAGGGAGTTATAGCGAGCACAGCGAAGAGGAGCCGAGCGAAGAAGAAAAAGAATAAGAAGAAGAAGAGGACGAGGAGGAAGAAACCCCGGAGGAAGGGAGTTATAGCGAGCACAACGAAGAGGAGCTTAGCGAAGAAGAATAAGAAGAAGAAGATCAGGAGGAGGAAGAGGAAGGATGTGAGTGGGAGAGTCTGGGTGAGGAGGCGGACCGCGCAGAGGCCCAGGAAGAAGATCCTGAGGTGGTAGCGCGGTGGAGAGAAGAAATCATGGTCGGGAAGCAGCCGCTGGAGTACACGAGCGGCACGGATCTACCAATCCCGGACGATCCAACCAAGGATCCCGAGCCACCCAGGTTCGACGATGGGGACCCTACTGCCGAGACTTCGAGCGCACCGACACGGAGACGGCGAAGCCGATCCCCCTCCCCCTCCACCCGTCCCCGCGTTCACACATGTACCGATGCGGGGCATCGGGCTTCGTCCCCGGTCGTTATCTCGTCATCCCCTTGATTACCTCACCCTTCGCCAGATCACCATCCCGATCTCCTTTCCCCACAACCCCTTCCCCACCGACATCTTTCGTCACTTCTACGCTACCCACCTCGCTGTCACAGTACACCCCCACCCCTCTACTCGATGCGCCACCCCTGTCTTTTGCCTCCACGTCCTTCTCTTTAGTGCCGCGTGGCGGGGCCACAATATAATCGAGGTCTACTTCACAATCACGGGGACTATCCCCGCGCGCGAAGACCACGATCGGTTCCACACAACCCTCTTCCGCACCTTCGCAACCCTCTACCCAGACCATCTCGCGTCTCTCCCCCACAGTGGCACCCATTTCCCTCGCTTCCATCGAATCATCCTCTATCAGGAGCTTCCGGTAACGGTAGCAGGGATGGAACACTTCCTACCCCCGCTCCCAACCAACCCTCCCCCTTCCCATGCCCCCATGTACCGCCTTCCCTTTCCTCTTCCCGCTGGTCACTGATGCGTGGTTGCATGGCACGTGTCACGACGATGGCACAAACGATCTCCTCCTTCGAAAGACGAGAGCCCTTACAGAGGAACCTGTAGGATAAGAGCCTACGTCTGCCACCCAGAATGACGTTCACACTCTTATCGAACGGTAAGTGGCAACAAAGAGAGTTCCGCGTGTCGATCGATTAGAGAGATCGACACGTGTGGCGATGGCTAAGCAAGCAGGAGCTTGCTTAAGATTGGAACCCCCTGGGTGTCACATATGTGACGAACCAATTCCTGTTCCGCACGATTTTCTACGCGACGACAATGAGGGGTCCTAAGCTGGGAAGGTCAGGCTAATTATGGGATATGGGATCCAACGGAAAAATTGCAACGGTGTCCTTGTTTGTTCTTCTTTTTAAACTTTTTCGGATGGCTGGGGCTAGGGCTGGGCAAGTCCTGGGATGGTCGATTGAGTGGCTGGTGCGTCGCCGGAGGCGCGATTAATAATGGTTGACGTCGATTCTTTCTTGTTTTGCTGACGGGTTTTCGGCGCGACGATCATGCGGGAGTTTTTCTTCTCACTTTCTCAATTTATTTTTTGAATCTTGTCGAG